ATGATTACAAAATCAATTCCCTTTATAATAGGTATATATATATTGAAAGTACTAATAATTTTTTTTGACATTTATGTTTTGTTTTTTTATGTATATGATGGTTATTAATTTTTATCCTTTTAAAAAATTAATTTTTAGATTCGTCACTACATCTTGATTTATATATTTTTTATTCTTTATTCATAGGATCATTTTTTCTTTTTGCAATAAACTAACAAATTTGGCATACCCACTTTGTGTAATCTCAGAATAAATTATGTTGAGAAAGAAATATTTATTTTGTTTACATTCACGGTCCTTACCAAGAATTAGCCAGAATATTTCAGTAAATATTTCATACTTATATATCATAGTTAAAAAAATAAAAAATAAAAACTTACAATTTGGTTTCTAAAATATTGCTCTCTACCTCCAAAATAGTCTGGAAAGTAATAAAATTACATAAGTAATCCTTAAAAGTAAAAGAAATGCTATATATAATCTCTAAAATGTTGAAAACTTTGAAATTAGTCCCTCAATATTATTAAAATATATCAATGCGGAGACGAATATGATAGCTTTTCATCACTTTAGGGAGTACTTATATAATTTCATTATTTTTTAAATTATTTAAGATAAAAGATGTTTTGTTTACATGAAGGAAAATGTTAAAAGAGTATGAAACTCTTTTGCAGGAAACTTTACGAATAGTACGCGTCACTTTTTTAAAACATTTGTTTTTTTTTCCCCTCTCATGTGTTTTTATCCCATCGTAATTCTTGTAATGTCATCTGATTGCTTAAAAATCTTTCGAAAAATTTTGTTTTGTATTATATAACAGCATTCTCACAAGAAACTTCCTGATGACAACCTAGAGATAAACTACACCATTCAAAAGTCAAGTCTTTTAGGTCAGTCAATGGTTTATATATTAGAAGCCATTCTCTTATGGGCCGAGGCTCCAAAAAAATGATAAATAGGTCTAAAATTGCGAATTGCAAAATTAAGATATGCATAAATTATATACAAGTGGTTAATATATTGAATATAAAGTTGAATTATTTGAATAATTAATGTTTGAATTTAATCTTTTACAAAAATAGTTCTTAATCATGTTTTAGGGTTTAGGATTTAGGTACCTTTCAATTGAGACAGATTAATCTAGAACAATATTTTAAAACATCGGTAAAAAGAAAAAAGATGAAAAAAAGATAATAATTGATGGACTACACTTGATGGTTTATTCTTTCTTTTGAGGACAAACACATAATTGAAATTCTAATGCATCTGCATGTTCACAAGAGATATTGATGTTTTCATCAACCAAAAGTTTCACAGTTTAGAACATGAGATTAATGGTAGTTTGTAGACATTTTAATTTCCTTTTTTATCTTTTATTTGATAAAGAAATATAACTTTTTTCTCTCATGTTGATTCCTATGGCAGTAAAATAATTTATAAACATTTTTTTTCTTTAACACATTGAGATACTACAAGAAATTTTATATATAGAGACATACTAAAAGTGTTATTATAGGTACAATATATGTAGATATATATTTATTTGACATATAGTTACATATAATTTTAGTATATATTGATTTTAAATAAAATTTAATAACATATTTTATGTGTCAATATAATTTATACCTACACTTTTAAACAATATATCAACATATATTATATTTATTACATGGATAAAAAAAAATTTAGTAACACGTATTATATCATTATAAAATTTGTATTATTATATGACAATTTTCTTATTGTGAAATGATATTTTGTAAATATTTTTTTACTTAACATTGAGGCACCTTTTAAAAACGTAAAGAATAAAATTTTAATAGAGTTGAAGCAAATAATAGATATAATGCAATGAGCAAAACAGCAATTACAGCTGGAACCGGACGATATATTTCTGGTGCTTGGTATAGCTAGCTAGAAGGAATTGCAACCTATTATAGAGAAAAGATGATGAGATTGAATAAAATCCAACTTTGGAATATGCGAAGATTACATTGAGAAATATAAACCACGACATATATATCAACAAACAAATGATGATAAGAAAACCACTCATCACTCAGTGCTGGACCATATAGATCTTTATCTGCTATGAGTTATCGTTCTTTATTTGCGACAACATGATTGCATAATGCATGATTTTATGTATCAGAACGTATAGGATGCAAAAGTTTAATTATATTTTTGGGGGGTGGGGTTGATAAAACATAGGATAGTGAACAATACAAGCCATTCGATTATTAATTTGAAAACATATAGTTTGAATTATTTGATGTACATGTACTTTCGAATCTTTTCATTTTGGCCTCAATGTCACCGCTAACGTTTATTTCTAGATCATGTGCATTGAAGCATATACAATGACAAGACACGTTCAAGTTTCTGCAGACTTGCATATATAAATGTCCGAAAGCGATGTGTGTGTTTCTACTTGAGTCATGAGAGGAAGCACACACATGCTATTATTCCTTTTAGCTATATGTTGCCTACAACAAATCATTATCACGCATTTTGTTTTGTGACCAATCTTGTTCTACGCATATAAACCCTTTCATCCTCTATCAATACTTTTCTCCTAACTAGATGACTATTGACTGTATATATGAGAATTGAGAAACAATTAAAGATGGCTGATTAAATTAAAAATGACCATGATACCATCTTAGAATAGTGAATTTGAGTTTAAGTCAATCATACACAACTGACTTGTAAGGTTAGGGTTGTTTTTCACTTATATATTATTTAATTATCTTATATTTAGTCGATGTGAGACTTGAATTTTTTTCAATACGCCTCTTCACATCCAATATTATTGAGTTTGGTACGTAGATAAATGATAGGTAGTCCTTTTTTTAATGATCTAAGATAGCTTTGATATTATACTAGTGTTTGGGAGAAAAATGACAAAAATAGAAAATTGTGAAAGATTTCTTTATTTGCTCATTTGATCAACCCAACTGAAAATACACAAGAGTTTAACTATTTATAAAAGGATTAGAAACAGAAAATAAAAACTAACAACCAATATACGGTGTATAGAAAATAGTAAAAATCTATTCCTAATATATACAGTGTTAAAATGAAAGAACAAGTTAATTGTGATAGGATGATAATGTAAAATTATGTAAAATTATTTTATGTTGTCCATATATAATTATTAAACCCTTTTAATAAATTATATGGAGCCACCAGTTAGATTTCATTTTTATTATTTCAACTTTTTTCTTTGGTAACTAAACATGCGTTTTTGACTTCACGTTTGGGATATACTTTATTTGGACAAAACATCTTTTTGGTTCTACATTCAATTGTATCAAACTACATAGATCTTATTTTAAGCACACCTTGTGCTTCGAATAAATGTCATTTGTTAAAATTGTTTATAAAAAGAAATGTAACTAAACATGTTCTGATCTACGAGGAAAACTAGAAACCCCTTATAGATTCCGGCTTAATTTCAAAATTCATGTATATGATACAAATTTGGGATAAGATTTTGGGTCTATTTAATGGTTAGGATATGAAGTTAGAATAAGATAAAATATTTTTAAAATTATATATTAATATATTTTTTTTTAAAATAAATTTAAATGATATTTTTTATTTTAATATTTTATTT